ACCTGAGTGGACCTTTGAATGCAGTCCTGAGCCTGTTAAATTTTGTTAAAAAAAAAAAAAAAAAGAAAGAAACCAAAGCAAACTAATGTATAAACAACAACAAAAGCAAAACTTGAATAAATATATAATGACATTGTTCATTTGGAGAGTTCCCCTGTGTTGCACTTCAGTGGTGAGTGTTCATAATTTAATCTTCTGCCTCTCTCCCTTCCATGGACCCAGAGTGATCTGGTTAACACCCTTTGCTCTGCCCTCAGAAATCCTGCCAGTCTTTCAAACTTGCTAAATCCTGCAGGATTTCCTCCCTGATTGGACTGGAAAGTGTTACTTGTCTCATTTATTTGACACTGCTTGCAGCATTTTCATGTCCTAGGATCCTTTACTGAATTGACTTTTTGAAGAATGTGATAAAGAAGTGTTGACTGATACAAGTCTGCCAATAGACAATGAATGAGCAGTGATTGCATTTAAGGCCTTGTGCCAGGTAGGCATTTTAGGGCTGGGGAGATAGTCACTGCCTTGCCCTCTGTAACTTATAGCCCTAATAAGAGAGCTAAAGTTGAGTACACATATCATTATAGTCATAGATAGAAAAAGTAAGAAAAGCAATATAGAGGATCAAAGGAGGGAGACATACTATCTGTTGAAAAAGTTAATCAGGAAACGTCTTCTAAGACGTGCCTGAAGTAATGATTTCATTATTCCTAGAGCAACTGCCACTGTTAGGTTTGCTGCTAGAAACAACACATGTTCTGGCAATCCTAGAAAAGCCAAGTATTGTCTTCGCCGCCACATAATATATGATCTTTTGTTTGTGTCAAGAACTGTGAAGGGTCTGAAATTTTACCTTGCTTTTAAGACAACAAGTTAGCCTGTCAGAGTTTCATTGATGCTGGCAGATGGCAACGCCTGGGCTAGAGACAGAGGACTCTGTCACTCACAGGACAACAGGTAGCATGAGCCTCCTGTTTCCATCTTGTCTTTTCCTCCTCAAGTCCCATAGGGGATGGGCAAAGCAGCCTAAGTAGACGCTGTACACACAGTGAATTTGTGTCACACCCGCTTTACCAACCTCCAGCTCAGAAAACTCCCAGTGTTACAAGGGATTTGCTAGCAAAGCTGTCCAACCTTTGCCCAGAGGGAGACATTATCTTTATTATCCTGGTCAGGAAACAGATCTTCTATTTGCCCTGAAGGGAGATTCTATCTCTGTCTTCCAAGGCTCTTTGAAAAGATAATGTGGAACAAAAGCTGTCAATAAAGTATAGGAATCCTCTAGAGAATTGCCCCCTAGACAATATGTTCAAATAGTCCCCGAAATAATCCTTATGAAGCAATGATTGAGAAGAATGAGGTAATACGTTGAGGTTGTTGTATTGTCTGGATACTATTTCAACATTGAAAAGCTGAACTTTGGTATATTTTTCCAAAGAATTAGTTATCTAATACTTTGAAATTATAGAACTACGGTTTAAAGAAGTCACCGTTTTACATAATGATGAAAAATGAATAAAAAAAGATGCTAATATTCTAAGAAGAAAAGCCCTGCATCTCATAAATTAAAGGTGTTAAGAATATAAAAGCATTATTCTGCGCTACTGATGAGGTATTCTCCGATTTATTCATGTCAATAAGCAAATTAGTCATGAAAATCTTTCCAGTGATGGATGATCCTAAAATGAATTTGTATTTTGAATTTGTATTTACACACACATATACATTCTAGCATATCCTTTTGAATAATTTATGCATCCACAGTAAAATTATAATTCCAGAACCAAATTGAATCTCAAATTAAAATGAGTTTTAGAAATCATCTGAGAAAACCTACTGCTCAGTGCCTGAATTTTTTCCAAAATAAAGGATCAGTGAAGTTTATAAATTCTGCAGCTTCACTTCCAGAATCCTATTGTCAAGTGGTGTTGGTAACCTCCCTCAGGCTGATGTTAAGCCTGCAGTCGAACCTGACATTGTCTTATTTATGTGATATCTTTCCTGAATCATATATGATCCACCGATAGATCTACTGCTATAATGAAGAACATTGATTCTAGGGTATTCTCTGTGTGCTTTGGACTTTTTAGTTGGTTTTCTTTTATACCCCTACTTTTTTCCTTTTGTCTTTTTTCTATGTTACAACATAACAAAAAGCGCTTGTTTAAAAGTTTATATACTGCACTATGAAAGCAAAGGAACACATGAATGCTGAATATTGTTAGTAAGAAACTTTAGGGGGCTCATTGCACTAATAATAACATCAAAGTAATGTCATACACCTATAGTTCAAACCCTAGAGTGCATACTCTTGTGATAATAAATTTAGTCATAAAAGGATCATCATAATCAAATGCTATTGTCACCACTTTTATAAATCCCCAATATTTTTCATGTATCAGGGCCTGGATTTGACTACATAATGTGTGAGTTAAGTGACAAACCTCTTCCCCATCTAGCATATAAATGCCTAACCCGATATTGTATGGGACACAGCTTTTTAAAAAATCTTAAATTTTGACCATATTTGGGATTCAAACATGTATATCAGACTTCAAAAACTAAAATGCCTACAGGGGCCACTCAGGTAAAAGAAAAGTCTGAAGAGAATCAGAGTGCCTGTCCCATTGAAAGAAGACTTCAGACTCAACTCCAGAAGAATGGTGCCACATAGGAAGGCATGCCTGTTGCTTGCCTTTTAGATTTTTCTAGAGACATTGTACACCAGGGCATGTGGATCCAAGGCACAGGCCTATGGAGGCTATGAACCAAAAACTATAGGGGGTTCTGGTGAAAGTCAGCATCGCTCAAAATAGAATTCATCATCGCTGACCAGCAGAGCCCATGAAGATGATGCATTAGCATGAGAAGGTGATCCCATGGAATTCAGAAAGAGACACAAGAAAGGGAGCCGATTGAGCTTTTTCAGTCAGGGGAGGGGGAGTGATTGATCCAGCAGGTGAGGGGATAAGCTATTAACCGGGAGGCTTTTAGATCTTGAGGCACAGGAAACATTTGAGAACTTACCAGTTGCTACAATTACTTAAGGGAATTGTATACCTTGGTTCCCATCCATAGATCTGCACTGTAGAGTTGGACAGAGAAATATGCATTTTTTTTTTTAAAAGAAGCTCCCAAGTAGTACTTAGGTAAAGTTCTGGTAAGGATTAAATTAAATGTTGAATCTGAAGTGCTCAGTACAAAAGTTAGAAAGCTGATAATGCCAAGTGTCAGTGAGGATTGCTGGTAGAGTATAAACATGTCACCATTCTGGAGAGCAACCTGACACTACAGTAAAACATTAAATGTATGCTTCGCTAAGACCCAGTAATTCTGCTTCTGGTTATACATACCAGTGGTATTCTTATACAGATCCCAGAGGGACATGTACAAAGATGTGCTGCTGCTTTTGGGGGAGGAGGAAGGGAGTGGTTCTTGTCAATAAAGTACTTGATTAAAACAAAACAGACTATTGTGGTAAGAAGCCTTTTCCCAAAGTAGCTTATACACCATCACTTCTGGTGGAGTCACTGCAACTGAAATGAGCTGTTCATGGAGATCATAAACATTAAAATGATTCCTCTAGGTTTTATCGGGAGAAGATGTGCCGATGTTTGCCGTGGTGGAGATTTGGAGACAATTTGGGTGTCCTCATTGGGAGAGTAGAAGAGGGAATATGGGGGATCCATACCCCAAATATTACAAAGCAGTTAGAAACAACAGACTGTATGTATACATAGGGCTTTGTATAGGGGTCTTCAAAACCCAGTTTTTAGTATAAAAGATGAGAAAGACTTTACATAAATTAAAATATACCATTTACCTAAATTAAAAAATGCACAAAAAGCAATATACACTTTATAAGAACATATGCAAACAACAAAAAAACTGTTAGTCTTCCCAGGAACAATTTACAGCGATTGCCTCCTGGAGGGATGCAGGGAGAACATGGAGCGGGGAAGGGAAGGCAATAAATAGATAATTAAAATAAGAGAGGGACCTTTTAAGACCAATGATAATAATGAGCCCTCAGCTGCATAGTATAACAAACTCAAACCTCTGCACATGAGTTTATAAAGTAGAAGAAAGAAAAACTAAAATAAAGTTCTTGCCACGCTGTCTGGCACATGGTGTGATTAATCTATCGTTTAAGCAAAAAGAGGAACAGAAACAGTCTGAGAAAAGAAAAGGATAGAGAAAACCATTTCTTGCATTCCAAAAAAAAAAAAAAAAAACAGTTCACAGTTAAACATTTGTGGAATTAGATTTAAAAAGTACTTAGTGATTTCTGCCTGTGGTCCCAGCAAAGTGCTAGGGACTATTTGAGATGAAAAAGAGGTATTTGATATATTCTCTCTTCAATGAAGAAACCAACAAATTTGAAATACAATGAAAATTTCCTGAAATCCAGTGGGAAACTGGTAGAGTTAAATAATGTTTTAAAACTAATCAAAGATGTTTCTGGTGTATTATGAAGTGATACATTATAAACAAAGGATGAATTATAAATTCATTCATTATAAATCCTTTCATTCTTTTGTGCACAAATGTTACTGAGAGTCCACCACACCAGGTTCAGTGCTAAGTGGTAAAAATGCAAAGGGAACTTAAGGAGGTTCCTGACCTTTGAGGGGGCAGACAAGTTCAGGAGAGAGACTGGATGGCAGAGGTCACAGCAGGTTAAATGCAGAGCAGTGCTGGTTGAAGTATGGATGGCCTCTAAAGGCCTGAGACTTGAGATGAACCTTCAGAAAGATTAAAAATAATAATAATAAATAATAATAAAGTTTAGCATAAAATAAAAGTTAAAAGATAAGTGTCTTAATTTGGCAAATAATGCCATAAAGAAGATAAAGTCTTGCTTGATCTTCTCAAAGAAGGAAGTAGAACCAACAAAATTAGAACAAAATAGAATGTATTGAATTGCAGAAGAAAAATGAAATGGTTTTTCCGTGTGGTTTATTTTTATATGCAGTTGCATAACAGTCCATTATCTTTTATTCCAGATACACTGGCCAAGTACAGCAGTAAAAACAGAAGAATGCATAATGAAAGGAAAAGATGCCGTGAGTATTATTCATTGTAAATTAAACAAATCATCAATTATAGTCATGGTCAGTGACAAAGGACTGAATCTCTAACCTTTTATTTGCTCCTAAAAAGCATATATGCAATTCATTTCAAGAGTAAATATCTATCTCTCTATATATCTATAGATATTGATATATACATATACATATACATATATATGCAAACATACATACATGTATATATACACATGTATACACATGCACATATGATATATACATGTACATTTTCTATATATATAATTACTTAAAAATTAATTTCAGTGTAGAGATAGAGTAGGACACCAAGGTACCATCTAGATCTTGGTTTTATTTTGTCTTATAATATTTTAGTCAACTCAGATTTATAAATTCCTGCTAGTCAGGCTTATCTCCTATGTATTGGGGAGAAAAATAATTTCAGGTAATTTCTTAATTTGAGGAAAAGCTAAGCACCGTCTTTGTGAGATTTCATCTCACCCTGATTAGTAAATTAGAAACAAATGAAGAAACTAAAGGAGAAAAAACAAAGAACTTGAAAGAAGATGGCAAAGGCAGTAAACATGCTTTATATATTCCACATGTTTTGAGGATGTCTCCTACTGAAAGAATCAATACTCCATCTCTCCATAACTTCCCTGCAGTGTGTGAAAGGGAAGAGGTGGTCCAGCAGCAGCGGCCCTGCCATAGTTGCTAACACACAAGTACACGGGTGAAAGGACTTTTCACGTGCTAGGAGTAGCTGGCCAACGACACAATTCACAGCTTTGGAGGAAGGCATGCACAGCTCCTTTTGAAAGTTAACTCATCCTTTTTTTCAGTAAGAAAAAAAAAATACCATGTAGAAATCTAACACACATTATACCAACTCCTGATTCTTGCAGCAACTGGGTAACAGCGAAGGGATGAGTCAAGGCATTCTTGCTGCCTTAGTCTACAGTGTGGTGCTGAGTAATTGAACACATTCACAGGCTGTGTTAATCTAAGCCCACCCGAGCCAAAATGTGGTCTAATTGGCTTACTCAAAATGTGACAGTTTCAAGAGATGAGAAGCAGGTGCTTATAGCAATATGAAAATAGGATATTAGATTTTCCCAACTATACGGGTCATATACAGACTAGGATGCTGCATGAAGGGGAAATTAAAGGAATGAGTCTATCGGTGTGCCCCAGATAATCGGTTCAGTACTGTGTTACTTGTTCTCACCAAGGGAATGCTATATTCTGAATCACTTACGATGAGATAGTTCTGCTGGCTTTTTCATCCTAATACTGTTGTATGAGAGAATTTAAAAGTCAGAATCTGACCTTATAAAACATAATATGTACTGACTATTGCATGTACTAATGTCAAAGTGATATTTAGCAATAAAAGGGTTTAGTATTTCTCTCACAGTTTAAATGAACTAGCGGTACCTGATTTGCCAACAAGGTATTTGCTAAAATTAATTTAGTCAAGTTTGTCTGAAGTAATTTTAAACTTTTTTTCATTCAGCATACTCACCTAATGACTGATCTATTAAAAGTTTGTTACACATGGAGTGTGTATCAGGCACTGGCTTTGATTAACTACAGAATACAAAGATGTGTAAAATCAAGATTCTGTCCTTGATAAGATTACAGTTGAATCCCATTATGGGCAAACTAGAGCTCTGGGGCTGAATGTGACCTGCCATAAATGAAGTTTTGTTGGAACACTTCCATATACATTCATTTTTGTGTTGTCAACGGCTGCTTTTATACTATAGCTGCAGAAGTAAATAGTTGCAGCAGAGACCAGATGGCCCATCAAACTAATTATATTTACTCTCTGGTCCTTTATAGAAAAAGTTTGCTGATCTCAGGACTGTAATCTTACAGTAATAGGTATGAAATGTTATTTTTATCAGTTAGCTTTCTATCTGTTTACTTGAAAATTCTCTATGAAAGTACTTTATATGAATTTATGAGTTTGAAGATATAAGACTTATTTTCCCAAACATCAAAACTCTGTAGTGCCCTAACGTCTGCATATGTTCCCTTAAGGGTAATGAAGCTTTTTCTAGTTATTTGTTTTCTGACTTTATGCTGATTCATTGTTTATATGAAATTTTAAAAAATAACAGGTTTGGGAAGAATTTAATTATTTAGTGAAACACATTGCCATGTAAATCTTTATACCTGGATAAATTTCTGAACAGTGCTTTTTTTAAATTCCTCGTGTACTAGAATACATGAAAATGATACCCTCGCATTATTAAATGTAATTCATACATCGCTCTATTGGTCACCTCCGTCTGTTCTTCCACTGGTCCTTGTCTTCTTTTCATCTGCCCCCTTTGCCTTCTCTAACCAAGCGCAGGTTAGACGTGAGATTTCTAGGGCTCAGAAAAGCAAAAATCAAAAAAGAACTAAACATATTCATTACACTAACCAATTTCTTCTTTTTTTTTTTTTCCCGCTTTAGAGTGAGTGTGCAAATTATGTTCGGGTTTTGCATCACTATAATAGGACGCACCTTCTGACCTGCGGTACTGGAGCTTTTGACCCCCTTTGTGCCTTCATCAGAGTTGGATACCATTTAGAGGTATGATGATTTCATTCATTGCTCTCAATGAATTATCAAAAGTAATGCTTAAAAGAACTTTGTTTTAAAAGAAAGGTTGTGGCATTTCTTCCTACAAACCAGAAAAGCATTTGTGATCTTCTGATTAAGCTTGCTTGAGTCAGATAATCGATCTCTCTGGGGCTTTAAAATTCTTGCCAGCTACAAAATCTGTGAACCAATTAATTCTTTATGTATTCATTGACTGAAGAATTTCATTTACTTAATTTGCCCGCTTAAAAATATTTCTTAATATCAAACTGTGTTCTCTATTGTCTTCTTATATAAAATTTTATTGGTGTAAGTGCCAAACTAGAATGAATATGTATATATATGAACATATATATACAAGCATATATGAAAATAAATTTATATAAATAAAATTACTACATGCCGTATTTTTTAAAAGACATGCAAAGGCTTGTTGATCCTGTGATGACTCCTTTTCTTGGCCAGGTGAGGTGGGAGAGGTAGAGTTGGGCTGGGGGGAGATTGCAGAACTGACTTAAGGTAAACTACTTGATGAGATCTGTACATGTCCTCCCCTGAGACCCCACCACTAGATGGTATGGTATCATGAAAGCAAATCCCAACTGAATTCTGCCACATACACCACATTATATTTACTGACAAGCAGGCTTGACATTCAGTCATATAAGCAGTTTCAACAAACTGGGTATACTCTCAGCTTTGGTTTATTTAGGCACATTTTCAAGCAACTTACATCACAGTTTCACTGTGAATACCCATACTAAACAATATACTGATGTCAGGATCTGTTACCTTCCCTTGTCGTCAGAAGGCAGAATACTGCATCAAGATGGGACACAGATAAAGCAGAGCTCTGGATGATCTGTAGTTAAGCAGCAAGACTCTCTCTCTCTCTCTCTTTTTTATTTTTTTAATTCAAGTATAGTTGATTTACAATGTTGTGCCAGTCTCTGCTGTGCAGCAAAGTGACTCAGTTATACACATGTGGACATTCTTTTTTTTAATATTCTTTTCCATTGTGGTTTATCACAGGATATTGAATATAGTTCCCTGTGCTATACAGTAGGACCTTGTTGTTTATCTGTCCTGTACAGAATAGCTTACATCTGCTACTCCCTTGATTCTTGGACCCCATTTATGAAAGGGCAGCAGTGACTGTAAAATATTTTCAGCCACCACATATGAAGAGCAACATTCATTTCACGAGTGAAAAATTATTTCTGCTATTCCTGATACTAGTTAACACGCAGGTGTACACATAATTAGCAGTATCTGAAGTGCTCACTCTAGCTGCCTTTGGAGAGTGCCCCTGATTGAGGCACTTCAGCTGTTAAGCATCCTTATAGGCAGGATTTTTGATTAGCATATTTTAAGTGTTAACTAACCACCCCTAGTTGTAGATTAAATTTAAGTAGCATACACAAACACATCACAGTATATTTACTAAATTATTTTAAAGAAACAATGCAGGTAATATAGTAGGAGAATATTAGAAGGCAAGTAAGTCCAGTGCAAAGTCAGAATATTTACATATATACAAATATACAAAGTATACATATGTATATACATATGCATATGTACATATGTGTATACAAACACACAGGTATACATAAATACAAAGTCAGAATATATACAAATTGTGATGCAGATTTATTGGTGACAGATCCTCTCAGTTTTCATTTATCTGAAAATGCCTTCATTTCATCTTTATTTTTGAAGGATATTTTCCCTGGATATAGAATTCTGGGTTAACATTTTTTTTTCTTTAAGCGTCTCAGAAATGCCTTATTGTCATCTAATCTCTTTCTCATGTAGGTTTAGGTTTCATTCATGCTGGTATTATCCTGTTTGTAACTTCTTTATCTTTCAAGAGTCTCTCTTTATCTATGGTTTTCAGTAGTTTCTCTATACTGTGCCTATGTGTGTGTGGTGGCAGTGTTGGAGAGATTGTTATTTATATTTCTTGGGATACTAAGATTTTTGGATACAAAGTATATGTTTTACACCAAATTTTTGGTCATTGTTTTTTCCAAATAATATCTCTGCCTCATTCTTTCTCTCCTCTCCTTCAGGGACTCATAGACAGATAGATAGATAGACAGACAAACAGACTGACTTTTGGGCAGTGTCCCACAGATCACTGTGATTCTGTTCATTCTTATTCAGTCTTTTTTTCCTCTGTTTTTCAAGTTGGATAAATACCTTTGACTTATTTTCCCTTTCTTCTGACATCTCCCATATGCTGTTAAGCCCACTCCATTAATGGTCCTTGTAAATATTGTACTTTGCAATTCTAGAACTTTCATTTTGTATATTTTCCATTTCTATCCTGAGTGCTCCCCCATATTTTTATTTATTATGACTCTATTTTCTTTTAAACTTTTGAACATATTTTAATAGCAGTTTTAAAATCCCTGTGTGCCCCATTTATGATAAAAACTCTGCAGAAAGTAGGCATAGAGGGATCTTTCCTCAACATAATAAAGGCCATATATGACAAACTCACAGCCAACATCGTCCTCAATGGTGAAAAACTGAAAGCATTTCCACTAAGATCAGGAACAAGACAAGGTTGCCCACTCTCACCACTCTTATTCAATATAGTTTTGGAAGTTTTAGCCACAGCAATCAGAGAAGAAAAGGAAATAAAAGGAATCCAAATCGGAAAAGAAGAAGTAAAGCTGTCACTGTTTGCAGATGACATGATACTATACATAGAGAATCCTAAAGATGCTACCAGAAAACTACTAGAGCTAATCAATGAATTTGGTAAAGTAGCAGGATACAAAATTAATGCACAGAAATCTCTGGCATTCCTATATACTAATGATGAAAAATCTGAAAGTGAAATCAAGAAAACACTCCCATTTACCATTGCAACAAAAAGAATAAAATATCTAGGAATAAACCTACCTAAGGAGACAAAAGACCTGTATGCAGAAAATTATAAGACACTGATGAAAGAAATTAAAGATGATACAAATAGATGGAGAGATATACCATGTTCTTGGATTGGAAGAATCAACATTGTGAAAATGACTCTACTACCCAAAGCAATCTACAGATTCAATGCAATCCCTATCAAACTACCACTGGCATTTTTCACAGAACTAGAACAAAAAATTTCACAATTTGTATGGAAACACAAAAGACCCCGAATAGCCAAAGCAACCTTGAGAAGGAACAACGGAGCTGGAGGAATCAGGCTCCCTGACTTCAGATGACACTACAAAGCTACAGTAATCAAGACAGTATGGTACTGGCACAAAAACAGAAAGATAGATCAATGGAATAGGATAGAAAGCCCAGAGATAAACCCATGCACATATGGTCACCTTATCTTTGATAAAGGAGGCAGGAATGTACAGTGGAGAAAGGACAGCTTCTTCAATAAGTGGTGCTGGGAAAACTGGACAGGTACATGTAAAAGTATGAGAGATCACTCCCTAGCACCATACACAAAAATAAGCTCAAAATGTATTAAAGACCTAAATGTAAGGCCAGAAACTAGAAACTATCAAACTCTTAGACGAAAACATAGGCAGAACACTCTATGACATAAATCACAGCAAGATCCTTTTTGACCCACCTCCTAGAGAAATGGAAATAAAAACAAAAATAAACAAATGGGACCTAATGAAACTCAAAAGCTTTTGCACAGCAAAGGAAACCATAAACAAGACGAAAAGACAACCCTCAGAATGGGAGAAAATATTTGCAAATGAAGCAACTGACAAAGGATTAATCTCCAAAATTTACAAGCAGCTCATGCAGCTCAATAACAAAAAAACAAATAACCCAATCCCAAAATGGGCAGAAGGCCTAAATAGACATTTCTCCAAAGAAGATATACAGATTGCCAATAAACACATGAAAGAATGCTCAACATCATTAATCATTAGAGAAATGCAAATCAAAACTACAATGAGATATCATCTCATACCGGTCAGAATGGCCATCATCAAAAAATCTAGAAACAATAAATGCTGGAGAGGGTGTGGAGAAAAGGGAACACTCTTGCACTGCGGGTAAAAATGTGAATTGATACAGCCACTATGGAGAACAGTATGGAGGGTCCTTAAAAAACTACAAATAGAACTACTATATGACCCAGCAATCCCACTACTGGGCATATACCCTGAGAAAACCATAATTCAAAAAGAGTCATGTACCGAAATGTTCATTGCAGCTCTATTTACAATAGCCAGGAGATGGAAACAACCTAAGTGTCCATCATCGGATGAACGGATAAAGAAGATGTGGCACATGTGTACAGTGGGATATTACTCAGCCATAAAAAGAAACGAAATTGAGCTATTTGTAATGAGGTAGATGGACCTAGAGTCTGTCATACAGAGTGAAGTAAGTCAGAAAGAGAAAGACAAATACCATATGCTAACCCACATATATGGAAATTAAGAAAAAAGAAATGTCATGAAGAACCTAGGGGTAAGACAGGAGTAAAGACACAGACCTGCTAGAGAATGGACTTGAGGATATGGGGAGGGGGAAGGGTAAGCTGTGACAAAGCGAGAGAGAGGCATGGACATATATACACTACCAAACATAAAATAGATAGCTAGTGGGAAGCAGCTGCATAGCACAGGGAGATCAGCTCGGTGCTTTGTGACCACCTAGAGGGGTGGGATAGGAAGGGTGGGAGGGAGGGAGACACAAGAGCGAAGAGATATGGGAACATATGTATATGTACAACTGATTCACTTTGTTATAAAGCAGAAACTAACACACCATTGTAAAGCAATTATACTCCAATAAAGATGTTAAAAAAAAAAGTGAAATATGAGGTAGCTGTGAATGGAGAATAAATAAATTACAAGAAATTAAATTTCTCATAAAAAAAAATCCTTGTGTGCTAATTTTAACATCTGGGTTACTTTAGGTTTGCATTGACTGTTTTTTTTTCTCTTGACGATGAATCATATTTTCTTGTTTCTTTTCATGTCTAGTAATTTTTATTTTGTACTGGACAC